TTGTCGCCGACGGTGCGAAATATGTGGCAGGAATGGGACGCTGCGCACATCGCGCGCGGACGTCCATGCGGGCCGCGGGCCCTCCCATCCTGACTAGTGCTACTAATACCATTGGTACGACTACTACGACTACTACTACTACTACTACTCCTGCTACTACTTGTTCTGCCAATTGTACTACCAATGGCATTACGGCTAGTCTAACAGTGGTACAAGGATTACTAGTACTTATACTTCCATAGTGCTACTACTCTGTATTACTACTCGTACGAGTACTTGTGCTACCTGTAGTACTTTTGCTTATACTACTCGCATTATTACTCGTACAACTAGTACTACTACCTATTCGTATCCCCACTCTACTACTACTACTACTACTACTACTACTACTACTACTACTACTACTACTACTACTACTACTACTACTACTACTACTACTACTACTACTACTACTACTACTACAACTACAACAACTACTACTACTACTACTACTACTACTACTACTACTACTACTACTACTACTACTACTACTACTACTACTACTACTACTACTACTACGACTACTACTACTACTACTACTACTACTACTACTACTACTACTACTACTACTACTACTACTACTACTACTACTACTACTACTACTACTACTACTACTACTACTACTACTACTACTACTACTACTACTACTACTACTACTACTACTACTACTACTACTACTACTACTACTACCACCACCACTACTACTACTACTACTACTACTACTACTACTACTACTACTACTACTACTACTACCACTACCACTACCACTACCACTACCACTACCACTACCACTACCACTACTACTACTACTACTACTACTACTACTACTACTACTACTACGCGCCAGCACCCAGTTGCGCCAGCATTGTTTCTTATGTTGTGGGAGGGCGGAACGTGTCCGTTGTTCCTTTCAACATGGCCAGTCTTGTCGTCGACGATGCGAAATGCGTGGCGGGAATGGGACGCGGCGCACATCCCGCGCGGACGTCAATGCGGTGTCCTGGGGTATCCTCCACTCGCACTTGAATGCCCGCGCAGCCCCCAGTTGTGCCATCACTGTTTCTTATGTTGTGGGAGGGCGGGTGGGAATGGGCATGCCATGCTTGACTCGCTCGAGCTGGCTAGCTTGACGCGAACCCTACCCCTACCCCCCACGATTTCCGAGGGGGAGGGTGGGGTTCACGTCGCTCGGGAGCTCCCGAACGAGGTGAACCCCACCCTCCCCCTCAGAAATCATGGGGGGTAGGGGTGGGGTTCGCATGTGGCCCCCTATCCGCCTCGGGCAGGTCCTCGCCAGCGGCAGCGCTGTCCACCGCGCCCCCAGCTCTCGCCGGCTCCCCGCCGGCGCGCCCTCGGCGGCCGCAGCCGCTGCTCCGCAGGAGGCTCTCGCCGGCACTGCTCCCGCAGGCGTGCTCACGGCGGCAGCAGCGGCTGCTCGCCTCACTTGAACGAAGGATTGCAAAAAGGATTGCAAAAAAACAAGGATTGCAAAAAACGAAGGATTGCAAAACGAAGGATTGCAAAAAAACAAGACTTTCGAAGGTTTTTTTTTGCAATCCTTCGAACTCTCTCGCGGGCACTGAGCCCGCAGGCGTGCACACGGCGGTCGCAGCCGCTGCCTCCCCCAGGAAGGCTCTCGCCGGCACTGGCCCCGAAGGCGCACTCTCGGTGGCTCGGGCCGCGCCCCGGAGCACGCCTGCCCCATTCGGCTTGGCACGTGTGACGAGGTAGTCATCGTCCCCGCCGCCGGTGCCAGGGTGACCTCGAACCACGCTGCTGTTCGGTGCCTTCCTTCCCCAAACCCCGTCGGGCGGTGCCGACGGCGCGCACGTCGCGTAAAATGGCTGCACGGTGTCCGCGCCAGTGGTTGGGATGAAGGGCGGCAAGAGCAGCGGCGCGGAGCCTGGCGCGAGCTCGTCACCGTCAGCCTCCCAGAGTACGGGCTGGTGCAGCACGAGCTCCGACGCGGCAGCATTCAAGGCGATGGGTATGTGGTGGGCCTGGCAACCGGGTGGCGCTGGATGGGCAAAACGATGGCGTTCTGCTCGACCTGGGTGACGATGTATTGTTTGCTCTGCCGATGGCCACTCTGCTCGGAGAAGTGCGCTTCGAGGTGGCAGCGTCGCGCGCACGCCCCGGCCTGCCTGTGCGCGCGGCGTAACCTGACCAGGCGAATGCTGCCTGGATGGGTCTCGGCTTGTGGGAGCTGGAATCCGTCTCGTGAGGCGTAGGCGAGGAACCGCAGGTGCTGGAGGCTTTGGTCGCGGGCGCCAAGTCCACCATCTCGCGCCTCGCCTGGGCGCCGCCCGGTTGCCCTGCGGCCATGACGAGTTCGGGCCAGGCTACTCCTCCTCCTCCTCCTCCTCCTCCCCCTCCTCCTCCTCCATCCTTTCTCCTTATGCGTAACTCCTCCCACTCGCACACCAGACTTGTCTGTAGGGCAGGCCGGGCGTCTCGCCTGAGACTTCCTCACCATTTACGGCCCTGAAGCATGAACAAAATCGCAACAGCTTCACAGATGGAGGGCGGGTAGTTTTCGAAATGTGGCTCTCACCATAGCGCCGCGCACATTCGTTTTTAACATGTGCAAGAGTGACACGGATTGAGGGCGGTTCTTGTTCAGAATGTGGTTCTCGCCTGAGCGCCGCGCATTTTCGCTTCAAATAAATATGTCCGAGAGCTTCACGGATTGAGGGCGATTCATTTTCAAAATGTGGCTCTCGCCTTAGCGCCGCGCACATTTCTTTTCAACATTTGCCAGAGCTTCACAGGTTCCCATGGCCCACGTACCAAGAATGGTGTTTTGGAAGGATTCAATATTGTGAGGGCGGCACAGTTACGTTGATTCGCGGTGTTGAAGTCCGAGGAATGGCGTTCTGGCACGATTCAGGATCGTCAGGGCGCAAAAGTCAGATTCATCTGTGGCGTTGGAGTCCCGAGAATAATGTTTTTCGACATGCTTCAGGGTCTTCAAACGGATGTCTTCCAACGAGGCAGTTCCCTCAGTGGAAATGAATCCTAGGGGCCTGTGAAGAAGTAGATTGAAGGGAGGGTTGATTCGAACATCGTTGATGACTCTTGGGTTTACACTGGTCCTTATCCTCTTGCTCCTCATTCTCATCCTCATCCTCCTCCTCCTCTTCCTCCTCCTCCTCTTCCTCCTCCTCCTCCTCATCCTCCTCTCCTCCTCCTCCTCCTCCTCCTCCTCCTCATCATCATCATCATCATCATCATCAGCATCATCATCAGCATCATCATGATCATGATCATGATCATCATCATCATCATCATCATCATCATCATCATCATCACCACCATCATCATCATCATCATCATCATCATCATCATAATCATAATCATAATCAGCAGCAGCAGCATCAGCATCAGCATCAGCATCAGCATCAGCATCAGCATCAGCATCATAATCATGAAAAATCATCATCGTCATCAGCATGATCAGCATCATCATCAGCAGCATCATCACCACCACCATCACCAGCACCATCACCATCATCATCAGCATCATAAACTCCATCACAATCAGCATCACCATCACCATCATCATCACCATCATCATCATCATCATAATCAGCGTCATCATCATCATCAGCATCATCACCATCATCATAGCCATCATCATCAGCAGCAGCATCAGCATCATAATCATCAGCATGACCATCATCATCAGCATCATCATCAGCATCATCATGATCATCAGCATGATCATCATCATCATCAGCAGCATCAGCATCAGCATCAGCATCAGCATCAGCATCAGCATCATCATCATCATCATCATCATCATCATCATCATCACGCAACTGCTGATGTAGATGTTCCCGTTTCCGAAATGCAAAAGGAGCCCAACCACAAGAAACCTTCCACAAAAAGCCTAACCCTGAGACTCCAGGACGTCCATTGATTTTTGGTGTGGGAACGTCACGCTTTCCGTTGCAAAACCATCGGAACCCAAGAAAACTGGAGCACCCTGGAGCCAAGCAGGGTGTTTCTTGGAATGGGTTCCCACTGTAATGGCAAGCGTTTTTTATTCGGCGTTTCGACATTGGGCGGAAAGGGGGGGCAGGAGGGGGGGGTCTGGCTCTGGACCTCTGCTTAGTGCGACTGTTCAGAACCGTGCGTCCTTTGGAGGAGACCCCACCTGCTCGAAACAGGCGCCAAAAACGACCAAGATCCACTCCACGGGGGGGGCGGGAGGAGGGGGGGTTGGGGGCCAGCGCCGATCGGCAAAAGCATGAATCAAAAAACTGTCATATGTATATGTTTATGTCGGGCCTGTCCCCCTACAGGGGGATCTTGGAAGAAAAATATAAAATTCCCCAGGCGAGATTGTTTGACTATTGTTGAGGAGCCCTCCTGTGAAGGGACGTGCCCGACTTAAGTATCTGTTCCAGTTTCAGATGTAGGGGGGGGTAGGAAAGGGGGGGGGGGAGGAAATTGAGGGCGCACAAACATGTATTAGCGATCCATGGATTTGGCGCGCGGTCGCCAAATCCATGGATCGGGGGAGGCGCCCTCCCCAAAGTGCGGCCGGTGCCGCCTCGCTCGGCGGCGGAAAGCCGCGACGTCCCCTGCAAGCGGGACCCGCCGCCAATCCACGCCCCCGCTGATCCATGTTTGCGATCGCCTGACCAGCGAGTGCGAGGTGAGAAAGCAGGCTGGCCCAGCAAGCCAAACAACGGAGGAGGAGGAGGGGGAGGGGGAGGGGGAGGAGGAGGAGGAGGAGGAGGAGGGGAGAGGAGGAGGAGGAGGAGGAGGAGGAGGAGGAGGAGGAGGAGGAGGAGGAGGAGGAGGAGGGAGGAGGAGGAGGAGGAGGAGGAGGAGGAGGCGTGTCTGTGCTGCCCGTGGCCCGCGGGGGTCCTGCACCGCCCCCCGGCGGCGCCCGGGGCCCGGCCGCGCGCAGCGACGGGCGGCCGCGCGGCGCGCCCCGCCCGTGCTCGCTGCCGGCCGCGGGCTCCCCCAGCACGCCCCCTGACATTAGATTGGGCGCGTCCCCCTACAGGCGGATTCTGATCGAAAAATGAAAATACATACATATATATATATATATGTAATGGCTTTTCAAACTAAATATTATGTTTTATATACAAACCTATATATAGAGAGAGAGAGAGAGAATCGTCCCAAAACTATGTTTTGACTATGGCGTGCCCGCGCCTTCTGAGAAGCATGGGTGCTTCTAAGAAGCCTTCCCCCCTTCCCCCCCCCCCCTCTGCGCGTGGCCGAAATAAGACAAAGCCAGGACGAGGACACCCTCGGGGGAGGAGACAGGTCGAGAGCCTCCGAGAGCTCCAGCGGCTCGGGAGGACGTCTCGGGCGCCGCGGCCTCCCCACAGCGATGACGGAAGTGAAGAGTAGTCCAACAAAATATACAAAAATACCGAAAATAGTTGTTGATCTAAGTTTTTAACACAACAAAAACGAAAAGACAACAAAACACACAAAAAAAGTCCCCGAACTATTGTTTCACTATTTTGGAATATCCCTCCTGTAGAAAGGACATGCCTGATGTAATACGAGCGGCGTCCGAGAGCGTCTCTTCCAAGCACCACCGAAGCGCAACAGCTTGGTAGCCCATGTCTGCCGAACCCACGCCGTTGCCCCCTTCTCTGGAAGAAGAAAAAACAACATCAACAGAAACTGTTGACGCTCCACGCGGATTTCTTGGATCCGCGCTGGACGCCCCTCCCTGGCGCGCGGAGCGCGCCAGAGGCGCCGCCAAGGGGGCCCCAGCGCGGTTACAATATCAGCCTGGAACATATCCCTATCCCTATGCTGGGCACCTCCTCATCACGACGCCAATCTTATGAATTCCCTTGCTTTTTGAGGGCGAATCCCTAAGATTGTCATCGCCTTTTGGCGTGTCAATCTTAGGGATAGGGATACCTTCGAGGCTGGCAATGACAAGAAATCCGCGCGGAGCGCCCAAAGTTTATGTTTACGTGTTTTTTCCTTTCTCGGCCCTCTGCCCCTCCTCCGCCCCTGCTCGCCGCCCCCCCCCCCCCCCCCTCTGCAGCGCGCCGCGGCCTGCCGCTGCCCCCGGTTCCGCGAAAGGCGGCTGGGAGCGGTCGGGCCCCGTGCGCTGTCGCTGCTTTCCGCTCTGGCCTGCGGTCGGGGGCCGCGGCTCGCAGGGCCCGGAGCTGCGCAGCGGGAGGGGCGGCACTTCACAACGTGGGCTCGATGGCAGCCTTCCTTTGCCCCAGGACGAAGATGGTGCAAAGGAGCACAGAAGAGGAGGAGGAGGAGGAGGAGGAGGAGGAGGAGGAGGAGGAGGAGGAAGAAGAGGGAGGAGGAGGAGGAGGAAGAGGAGGAGGAGGAGGAGGAGGGAGGAGGAGGAGGAGGAGGAGGGGAGGAGGGGAGGAGGAGGAGGAGGAGGAAGAGGGGAGGAGGGGGAAAAACAGCGGAGGAGGAAAAGGAGGAGGAGGAGGAGGAGCAGGAGGAGGAGGGGAGGAGGAGGGGAGGAGCAGGAGGAGGAGACGGACGAGGAGCAGGAGCCCGGAGAGGTCCGAGCTCCTTGGCCCCAGGGACGGACCACAGGCAAGGCCAGTCGTTTCCCCTCCCCTCCCTCCCCCCCCCGCCTCTCCCCCCCTCCTTCACCCGCTGCACCTGGGCTGTGAGCCTCCCTTCTCTGCTGTGGCGTGCCGCTTGCTCGTGGAGTGGCCAGGCGCGCCTGGGGTCACCAAGGCCACCGGGAGCAGGACGAGAACGAGAAGGGAGAAGAGGGAGGACAGCGACGGCGAGAACGAGGCGCGAGCCGAAGTCCTTGCCCTCCACGTAGGCCATCCACATGATCACCAGCACGAAGAGCGTCTCGGTGACGATGACGCCCCACGACGGGTAGCCCTGCACGGAGACCACCTGGCGATGCGCGCAGGGAAGGATGAGCGTGAGTGGGACGACCATGAGCATCGTTTATCCGATCCCCATCCCCAGCGGCGTGGCCTGGGCCCCGCTGGCCGATTTACCCCCCTAGATGGGGATATAGGCCGTTCCCTTCGGGTCTCGAGAGGTGTATCCCCAACTGGGGGTGGGAATTTGGTGGGGTCTCGAAGGGGACGGGGATGGGGATGGGGGTCGGTTAAACGATACTGAGACCAGGGTGAGGATGAGCACGAGCACAAGGACAGGACGGGATGCTGGACTGGCAGGACGGGCAAAAGGACCCAGCACGCACGGCCGAGGGCGCGATGAACTTCTCGGCTTAGGCGGCGCTACGCGAAGCGCCCTCAAGACTCTTCAAGACCTGACAAGACGGCACCAAGAGCTCGGCAGGCCCCCGAGATGCTATCATCAGGCCCTCTGACGGGCCTTCCAGGCCAGGTTGCCCCTGGGAGGCCAACGAGCTGAACAGACGCCCCAACGGTCTGCACAAGGTCCTGCTCATCAGGTCTTCGACCAATTTTTGTTGCACGACGAGCTCCTCACTGGGCTACAGGCAGGGTGCTTACGGCCGATATCCATCGCACGCTCGACCGACAGCGCTGTCCGCTGCGTGCAGCCATGTGACAAAGGAAGAGGGCACCTCTCCGTGGAAACGCCAATATACGCCATGGCATGCGGCAATGTGAGATTAGCAGTGACAGCGAATAGCACGCTGCAATACCTACCTATACTACCGCCCTGCGGGCGATAAGGAGGTGGGGGGGGATTGAAAGCAAATGCCCACCCTGACTGACCTCCAGCCTGTCACCTTGATCTCATCTCTCTCTTTCTCTGTCTCTCTCTCTCTCTCTCTCTTTCTCTCTCTCTCTCTCTCTCTCTCTCTCACTCTGTGTCTCCCTCTCTCTCTCTCTCTCTCGCCCTCCCTCTCTCTCTGTCTCTCTTGTTCTTTCTCTCTCCCTCTCTATCAGAGTCTCCCTCCACCACAATGATGATCGCGATGACGATGAGATCCCACTATCTACCTACCCGTCGACCGACCTATCGGTGAATCTCACTGTCGATCTCACTATCAACCTCAAAAGCAAAATGAGAAAGCCCGCCGCAGGCGCCGACAAAAATGAATTGATGGGGGTTGGGGTGGATGGGATTGGATGGAATAAGATGGATTGGATTAGATAAGATGGGTTGGATAGGAAGAAATGGATTGGAGAAGATAAGATGGATTGGATTGGCCCGCCGCAGGCGCAGAAACAAATGAATTGATGGATTGGGTTGGGTGGATTGGATTGGATGGGATAAGATAAGATGGGACAAGATGGGTGGGATAAGATAAGATGGATTGGATTGGACAAACTGGATTGGATAAGATAAGCTGGATTGGATAAGAAAGCCCATCGCAGGCGCGGAAAAAAATGAATTATGAAATTAGCGACATGCGCTAGCGCCGGGACGCCCGGGACGCCCGGGACACCCGGGACACCCGGGACACCGCCCAGCCCAACTGGGACACCTCCCGGCCACTGGCGGACGGGAAACGGACTTTCGCTCCTACTGACACCCGGGACACCCGGAACACCGCCCGGCCCAACTGGGACACCTCCCGGCCACCAGCGGACGGGGAACGGACTTTCGCTCCTACTTGGGCCTAGCTACAGGAGGATCACGCGCAGCTTCGCCTCGCCCGCACGCACGACACGAACACGAAACCGAAACCGATTTCCCGGTGGGAGGTCTCCGTTTCACTGCGATCTCACCCCCCAACCTCCGAAGATGGGACAAGATGGGTTGAATAAGATAAGATGGATTGGATTGGACAAGAGGGATTGGATCAGATAAGCTGGATTGGATAAGAAAGCCCGCCGCAGGCGCCGACAAAAATGTGGATTGGGTTGGGTGGATTGGATTGGATGGGATAAGATGGATTGGGCAAGATACCTGTACGACCGCCCTGCGGGCGATAAGGAGGTTGGGGGGGGGGGATTGAGATCAAATGCCCACCCTGACTGACCTCCAGCTGGACTGGATGAGATAAGATGGGACAAGAGGGATTGGACAAGATAAAACGGATTGGGTTGGACGAGATGGATTGGATAAGATAAGCTGGACTGGATTAGAAAGCCCGCCGCAGGCGCCGACAAAAATGAATTGATGGGGGGGTTGGGTGGATGGGATTGGATGTAATAAAATGGATTGGATTAGATAAGATGGGTTGGATAGGAAGAAATGGATTGGATAAGATAAGATGGATTGGATTGGCCCGCCGCAGGCGCAGAAACAAATGAATTGATGGATTGGGTTGGGTGGATTGGATTGGGTGGGATAAGATGGGGCAAGATGGGTAGGATAAGATAAGATGGATTGGATTGGACAAGATGGATTGGAGAAGATAAGCTGGATTGGATAGGAAAGCCCGCCGCAGGCGCCGAAAAACTGAATTATGAAATTAGCTACATGCGCTAGCGCCGGGACGCCCGGGACACCCGGGACACCGCCCAGCCCAACTGGGACACCTCCCGGCCACTGGCGGACGGGAAACGGACTTTCTCTCCTACTGACACCCGGGACACCCGGAACACCGCCCGGCCCAACTGGGACACCTCCCAGCAACCGGCGGACGGGAAACGGACTTTCGCTCCTACTTCGGCCTAGCTACAGGAGGATCACGCGCAGCTTCGCCTCGCCCGCGCGCACGACACGAACTCAAAACCGAAACCGATTTCCCGGTGGGGGGTCTCGGTTTCACTGCGATCTCACCCCCCAACCTCCAAAGATGAGTTGGATTGGAAGAAATGGATTGGATAAGATAAGATGGATTGGATTGGCCCGCCGCAGGCGCAGAAACAAATGAATTGATGGATTGGGTTGGGTGGATTGGATTGGGTGGGATAAGATCAGGTGGGACAAGATGGGTGGGATAAGATAAGGTGGATTGGATTGGACAAGATGGATTGGATAAGATAAGCTGGATTGAATAAGAAAGCCCGCCGCAGGCGCCGAAAAAAATGAATTATGAAATTAGCGACATGCGCTAGCGCCGGGACGCCCGGGACACCCGGGACACCCGGGACACCGCCCGGCCCGACTGGGACACCTCCCGGCCACTGGCGGACGGGAAACGGACTTTCGCTCCTACTGACACCCGGGACACCCGGAACACCGCCCGGCCCAACTGGGACACCTCCCGGCCACCAGCGGACGGGGAACGGACTTTCGCTCCTACTTGGGCCTAGCTACAGGAGGATCACGCGCAGCTTCGCCTCGCCCGCACGCACGACACGAACACGAAACCGAAACCGATTTCCCGGTGGGAGGTCTCCGTTTCACTGCGATCTCACCCCCCAACCTCCGAAGATGGGACAAGATGGGTTGAATAAGATAAGATGGATTGGATTGGACAAGAGGGATTGGATCAGATAAGCTGGATTGGATAAGAAAGCCCGCCGCAGGCGCCGACAAAAATGTGGATTGGGTTGGGTGGATTGGACTGGAGGCAAGATACCTGTACGACCGCCCTGCGGGCGATAAGGAGGTTGGGGGGGGGATTGAGATCAAATGCCCACCCTGACTGACCTCCAGCTGGACTGGATGAGATAAGATGGGACAAGAGGGGTTGGACAAGATAGAGATGGATTGGATAAGATAAGCTGGACTGGATTAGAAAGCCCGCCGCAGGCGCCGACAAAAATGAATTGATGGGGGGGTTGGGTGGATGGGATTGGATGTAATAAAATGGATTGGATTAGATAAGATGGGTTGGATAGGAAGAAATGGATTGGATAAGATAAGATGGATTGGATTGGCCCGCCGCAGGCGCAGAAACAAATGAATTGATGGATTGGGTTGGGTGGATTTGACTGGGTGGGATAAGATGGGGCAAGATGGGTAGGATAAGATAAGATGGATTGGATTGGACAAGATGGATTGGAGAAGATAAGCTGGATTGGATAGGAAAGCCCGCCGCAGGCGCCGAAAAACTGAATTATGAAATTAGCTACATGCGCTAGCGCCGGGACGCCCGGGACACCCGGGACACCGCCCAGCCCAACTGGGACACCTCCCGGCCACCAGCGGACGGGAAACGGACTTTCGCTCCTACTGACACCCGGGACGCCCGGAACACCGCCTGGTCTTGCAACTGGGACACCTCCCAGCCACCGGCGGACGGGGAACGGACTTTCGCTCCTACTTGGGCCTAGCTACAGGAGGATCACGCGCAGCTTCGCCTCGCCCGCACGCACGACACGAGCACGAAACTGAAACCGACTTCCCGGGGGGGGTCTCCGTTTCACTGAAGGGGCCCTGGGACACACAAATAAATACACACACAAAAAAAATACTCCCCATATTTTCCTATATTTTCTGGGTTTCTGTCTTCCCCCCGAATTCCCATGTTTTCCCATATTTTCTGGGGAATCGACGATTGATTGTGTCTGTGTGTGTTTTTTCCCTCCTGATTCACTGCGATCTCACCCCCCAACCTCCGACTAGAGCCTGAATGGCCTCCGCCTCTGCCGCCTTACCGGACTCAGCGTGCATCGTGGCGCGAAAACCCCTGAACGACTCAGATCGAGCACGAGACAACGCAGAGAAGCTCCCATTAACGGGCGAAGAACGGTATAAAATAAACTTGTTCGCCGTCGGGGACATCTGCCCCTGGGCGGCTGGAAAGTTTATACCCTTACGGTGGCACCGTAGGGGCATAAACTTTCCAGCCGCCCAGGGGCAGGTGTCCCCGACGGCGAAAAAGTTCATGTTATACCGTTCTTCGCCCGTTAATCCCAGCCAGCCCAAAGTTGTCCAATATAGTCCTCAAGACAAGCCGGGACCCAACACAGACACTCCAAGACTGTCCAAGATGGCGCCCTGTCGCACTCAAGGGGGCGGACGAAGGTGACCTCGAAGACGGACCATCACCCTCTTAAAGACATCCAAGATGGCCCTCCCACGGGCACACCCAGCACTCCGTTGAGAGGCAA